AGTAAAGACACACAAACTTAAAGTGTTTGTGAGTTCAAATCTCACTAGTAGCAATTTTTTTCGCTCCGCCACTGAAAACTTTCAGAATAAGATATAATTAACGCCCAAACTATTGAAGTTTATGTACTTTATACATAAAGAAAAACATTTCATGTCAGAAGTTTCTCCATTCATAAGGCTTGATATCCGAATTAAATACCAAAAATAACATACAATACAAGAAAAAGATAAGGCAAGATAAATTAAGCTATAGTTCTTTCCATAAAATCGAATTCTAAATAAGTATACATAAATGTATCACATATAATATTGAATTAAAATATTTTATTCATTTTTTTTGTGTGTGTTCTAATTATCACAATCATGGTAACAATTGCAAACTATCAATCCTGAGCCATGGATCATCTCACAATCACCACTTGGATTTTGTGACTTGAAATTATTAAGACATTTCTCCTCACAACAGTGTTCGTCACAAAGTTTAAAACTGCATACACCCAGAGCCGTTAAGCATTTATCATTTGGTACTATCACATTGCTAGCTATATCACGAATTCCATTAGTACCTGTTCAAGACCATAACATAATCAACATTATCAATAACAACATATTCAGTGAAATTTCACAAATAGATGAGATATTTTATAGCTAAACATAAGAAAAAATTCATCATAAATCATATTTAATGATTAATTAGCAAAAAATTATGTCAACGAATTATTTAGCAATAGATTTACAATGAATACAAGAATAAAAAGAAATAGTGAGAATTGAAAAAATGTACCTAGTACACAAACAAGGAGGAAAAAACACAAAGTTGATGAGAGTTTAGCCATTTGCTTGTGATGAAAAAAAATATATGCAAAAATTATTTTGGAATATGAATATTTAAAGGTAGAAAATGTGTAGAAAGTTTAAAATCTAATTAATTGAAAAGACATATTAAGTAAAACTATAAATGGATTAATTATTGATTTGCTAGATTTGTACATTCTTTGACTTGGCATATCTTATTGTGAAAAAATATTAATGTTCTTGTTAAAATGAATTATATGAGACTTGATTTTTTTTATTCTTTTATCTAATATGTTTTATTAAGATATTAACTTTTCTGTTACAATAATTAATAGACATTAAGATTGGTCAAATATTTTTTAAATTTTTTCATATTCAATTGGTCAAATATTTAGAAAATATTTTTTCTAGGTCAAATATTTTGAAAATATATTCTTTAGAAAAAAAAAAACTTACGCCCTTACCTCTTTATTTATCTAAATTATATACAAATAATTTTAGAATAATAATTTTTGTTTACTTACAAAACTCAACTTATTTTCTAGAAAATATTTTTCAAGAAACATTTTCCACCATATGCTCTATATGTATTGATAGAGATATTACCTTCATTATCCTTCAATTATTGATAAGATTTATTTTGGTCTTCATAATATCCATTATCAAACTACATGTATTGTTGAAATTATTTCATAAACTTATGTATACAAGTTAATGTGCACAATAAATCTTCAATTTATTAAATTAAGCCAATCATGATTTTGTTTGATTTATGAGCTAGAGTTTAAATTGCAAAAATAATTACTGATATTTGTATTAGAATAAATTATTTCCACCAACTACCATCAAACTTGAATTTGACACTTTTTTTCTTGATTAACAACAATAATTTATAGTAAAGAAAATATGCTTATTCCTTTTTCTTTATTTTCTTGCAATTTTTTTCCTTACTTTTGTTTCTTTTTCAAAGAAAAGCACCTCCATTTTCTAAACCTCCCCCACATGAAAAATAAATCATGTCGTATCAAATTACCATTTAATTTATTTTTTATTTATACAATAAAATTATTATGTTTGAAGTAGATTTAAAATAATCATTTAAATATATTCTTGAATAGTTTTGATCTTTTGAATTTGTAAAAAATGAGCAATATTGTTATTCATCAGATATTTAACAAACTTTTAAGGTTAGATGTAACAAGAATTATTCAAAAAGAATGTTTAATCAAAAACACAAAAAATGTTCTAAAAATTGCAAGATCCAAAAGTGCATCAAATATAATAGAAATAACCAAACACAACATAATTAGTTGCACATTATAAAAAAAAGAAAAAGAAGCTGCACAACAAAAATATAACAAAAATTACCAAAAAATGTACATGATTCTAAATTAGAGTTTCTCTCTCTCCTTTTTTTTATTTTTTATCTGATGCTTGACGCTCGTATTAGAGTCTGATTATTTCGAATTCACATCGCATAAGGTTCATTCTAAAAGAAGTGCTCCCTATCAAAGATTTTTATATACCCACGATTCGAGTTTAAAACCTCCAATTAATAAATGAGCAATCTCATCCACTGCACCAAATTTGTTGTTGATGGTAATATGAATTTATGTTAAATCTTCATCTTTCATAGGATTCTCCTTAAACAAAACAATTCGAATTTATTAATAAGCATTTACAAAAAATAAACCATACTTAGTTTTAGAGGACAACACATATTGTTCCACGTTCACCCTTAATCAAAGGTCTCAAATTCAAGCTTTGAATATGGAGAAAATTCGATTGATACTTATTTTTAGAGGACAACACACATTGCTTCAAGTTCATCCTTAACTAAAGGTCTCAAATTCGAACAATATGGAGAAAATCTTGTCGATAACATCACTCTCAAAATAAGTCATGTGGTGCGTGATTCGAATTTAATCAGGACTTTAATACGGACATCAAATGTCGAAATAACATATATTTCATATGGATATCGAACATTTAGCGGGAAAAAAAATAGGAGACCATAATATTGTAAAGGCAAGATAAATTAGGCTATAGTTCTTCCCATAAAATCGAATTCTAAATAAGTATACATAAATGTATCACATATAATATTGAATTAAAATTTTTGATTCTTTTTTTTTTTTGTGTGTGTGTTCTAATTATCACAATCATGGTGACAATTGCAAATTCTCAATGCAGAGCCAGGGATCGTCTCACAACCACCACTTGGATTTTGTGATTTGAAATTATCAAAACAGTTTTTCTCACAACACTGTTCGTCACAAAGTTTAGAACTGCATACACCCAAAGCTGTTAAGCATTGATCATTTGGTACTATCACATTGCTAGTCGTATCACGAATTCCATTAGTACCTGTTCAAGAACAACATAACCCGCATTATCAATAATAACATATCTAGTGAAATTTCACAGATAGATGAAATATTTTATAGCAAAAAAGTATGTCAATGAACTATTTAGCAATAGATTTACGATGAATACAAGAACAAAAAGAAATAGTGAGAATTGAAAAAATGTACCTAGTACACAAACAAGGAGGAGGAAAAAGCACAAAGTTGATGAGAGTTTAGCCATTTGCTTGTGATGAAAAAAATATATGCAAAAATTATTTTGGAATATGAATATTTAAAGGTAGAAAATGTGTAGAAAGTCTAAAATCTAATTAATTGAAAAGACATATTAAGTGATTTGCTAGATTTGTACCTTCTTTGACTTGGCATATCTTATTGTAAAAAAATATTAATGTTCTTGTTAAAATGAATAATATGAGACTTGATTTTTTTTATTCTTTTATCTAATATGTTTTATTAAGATATTAACTTTTCTGTTACAATAATTAATAGACATTATGATTGGTCAAATATTTTTTAAATTTTTTCATATTCGATTGGTCAAACAAATATTTTGAGAATATTTTTTCTTGGTCAAATATTTTAAAAATATACTCTAGAAAAAAAAATACTTACTCCCTTACCTCTGTATTTATCTAAATTATATACAAATAATTTTAGAATAATAATTTTTATTTATTTACAAAAATCAACTTATTTTCTAGAAAACATTTTTCAAGAAAACATTTTCCACCATATGCTCTATGTATTGATAGAGATATTTGCCTTCTTTAACCTTCAATTATTGATAAGATTTATTTTGGTCTTCATAATATCCAATATCAAACTACATGTATTGTTGAAATTATCTCATAAACTTATCTATACAAGTTAATGTACACAATAAATCTTCAATTTATTAAATTAAATCCTTCGTGATTTTGTTTGATTTATAAGCTATGAGTGTAAATTGCAAAAATAATTACTGATATTTGTATTAGAATAAATTATTTCCACCAACTACCATCAAACTTGAATTTGACACTTTTTTTCTTGATTAACAACAATAATTTATAGTAAAGAAACTATGCTTATTCCTTTTTCTTTATTTTCTTGCAAAAAAAAATTTCCCTTACTTTTGTTTCTTTTTCAAAGAAAAGCATCTCCATATTCTAAACCTCCCCCACATGAAAAATCAATCATGTCGTATCAAATTATCTTTTAATTTATTTTTATTTAAACAATAAAATTATGTCGTATCAAATTACCTTTCAATTCATTTTATTTATACAATAAAATATCAGATTTGAAGTTGATTTAAATAATCCATTAAATATACTCTAGTAGTTTTGATCTTTTGAATTTGTCAAAAATGAGTAATTTTGAATTTCATAAGATATTTAACAAAATTTTAAGGTTAGATATAACGAGAATTATATATATAAAAAAGATTTAATCAAAAACATAAAAAATATTCTAAAAATTCCAAAATGCAAAACTACATCAAATATAATAGAAATAAAATAAAAAGATAACAAAAATTACCAAAAAAGATGTACATGATTCTAAATATGAGTTTTTTTTTCTTTTCTCTTTGGTGTTTGATACGCGTACTAGAGTTCACCCTTAATCAAAAGTCTCGAATTTGAGCGGTGAGTATTGAGAAAATCATGTTGAGAGCTTCTCCTTCAAAATGGACTCGGTACTACACTATTCAAATTCAATTAGGACTTTAATACAAATATTACATACCAAATTAACATAATTTTTAATACGAATATCAAATATCGAACGTAAAAAATAAAAACAATGGGGGACCATATTGTATATTTTCTCTAGCAAAGCTCTATCATTATTTTTATTTTTATTTTTGAAACAAAAGTAATACTAATAATTATAGGTGAACAAGAGAGGCAATATACTGTACTTCCATTTCTTCTTCACATCCAAATACTGATCTGATCCAAAATAATCAAAGGTAATCAGAAAAGTTTTAACTCTCAGATCTCCTAGAAAAAAAATCAGATTTATGTATATGGGGTTGTTTCAATTTGTGTGTATGTATGATTTTGATTCAAAGTTATGGGAATCTGAGCTTTTTTTGGTGATTTTTTGTTGAAAGTTTGGATTTTTATGTGATAAAGTTGAGTTTGGGTTTGTTGGGTTGTTAATTCATTGTTGGGTTTTGCTTGAAGAAGCAAATTTGTTGTCTTTTTCAATTGAGAACTAGTGGTTGATGAAAATAGTGATAGTGGGTGTTGATTCTTGGTGATTAAGGCTTGATTCTCAGTTTTGAAAGTAGAGAGATTACTGATTCAAAGTGTGAGAGTGTGAGTGATGGGGATGCTATTTGTTTTGATGAGAGATCTGGGGTTGATTCTTTTTTGTTGAAAGTTTGATTTTTGTGATGAAGTTGAGTTTGGGTTTGTGTGCTTGTTAATTTGTTGTTGTTTGGTTGTTCTGTCATTGTTATGAGGTTTGCTTTAAGAAGCAATTTAGTTGTGTTTAACAATTGAGAAGCATTGGTTGATGAAAATAGTAATATTAGGTGTTAATTCTTAGTTATTAAGGCTTGATTCGAGGTTTCGAAAGTAAGATGTTATTGATTCAGGAAGGGAGAGTGTGGGTGATGGGATGCTATTGTTTTTGACAAGAGATCTGGGGTACTAAGACTTCAGGGAGTCTCTGTTTGAGTGGGAGATGAACTTCCTACGGTTGTTTGGGGCTGGTGGAAGAGAACTTAGACATGGTGTATGTTTAGGAAAGGCGTTGATGAATTAGTGAGGCAAGGATTGGAGGAGTGATGAGTACTTTGGTCAGCACTAGGGGACTCCTCATTCATTTTTAATGGGAAAGGTGGTAAGAAATTTAGTGATAGTTTAGGAGAAAATGTGGAACATAGGAGAATCGACATGTTTCTCCACTCACCTCTAGCCGTTAGAGGTAAGAGGAGAAGAAAGAGACTTTCCAGCCACTTTTACCAATCACCAACTACATCCCCGAGGTCGGAACAATTAGGCGCCAAGTTCATAAAGGAAAAATAGAAAATGTGGAGCCTAGGAAAAGCTCAATTAACTAAAAAGGAACGCACTAAAGAAGGGAGAGTGGAAAGGTCCCTTTTATCCATAGGTTTAGAATATGCAAGTCTGAAATTGTCTCAGAGACTAGAGCTCTTTATTTGTTTTAGATCATAAAAAATAATGGTGATTTTGGTTTTAATTCAAAGGAGGGAAAGATTATTGGTATGTGACTTGTGAGTATTTCTCTTCCTGTTGTGACAAAGATGATATCTCTGTTTCTTGTGTTTCTTTTCATTCTCCCTGCATTCTTAAGGATGCCTAGTGTTGGCAAAATAGTTGTATTCTTCTTCTGATATGTGATTGAATCATAAATGTCACTCTCCAAATTTCCCTCGTTGAAATGCAAACAGAATGCAGACTTTGAAACTTTTAAAGCTACATTAATATTTTCGTGGTTCTTCATGGTTTCTACCAGCACTGTTATAGTGGATTCATATGGTTATAAGAAGATTCTAATCAACTTCAGTGTTGTACTGATGTTTCTTTTCTGAATTATAATTAGACTAGTAGGAGCGTCACAGTCTCCACTAATGCTCAAAGTATAATGGATTTCCTCATTTCTGTAGCGATTATCAGCTGTGCTTCTTCTTTTATGTTGTTACTTGGTGCATGAAATCTTCGCTAACATATTTGAAAGTTTCTCTTATCTTTAATGTATATGGCCTGCCTCTACATCTTACTGGTTTCTTGAATCAGGTTGTTCCTGGGATTCTTTAACAAGAGAGAATTACAGAAATGGGTCGTGGAGTCAGCTATGGAGGAGGGCAAAGTTCACTGGGATACTTATTTGGAAACGGTGAGGCGCCAAAACCAACCACGGGAAATGCCCCAGCTGTTCAAAGTGAAGGGCAGGCAATAAATAAGGAGCCAGCTTCAAAGCCTACCGTTTCTGCTACAGTTGATGCTACTAAGCAGATTCCTGCTGGTATTCAGAGCACTGCTTCGAGAAACCATTTTGGGGGAGATGGTCAAAACACAGGCAACTTTATCACGGTATTGCCCTCGTGTCAATTAGTATGATGTCTTTTGAAATGCTTGTTTAGTTCATTTCATGCTTTGCTGGAAAAATATTTTGATTGTTCCGACTTCCGAGGTAGAGTATTGATAGCTTGCAGGCTGGAACCTCATCTCCAGCAGTGTTTTATAAGTTGAAATAAAAAAGCAACAAGGTCAATGAGGCTTGAAGCAAAACACGAGAAGTTGCACACACGAAAATTAAAAACCACCAACACATGTGGATTAATAGTATAATAATCAAATTGCAATTAGATAACTAATTTCTCAAAGTTGAGATTTAAAGAACTGATTGCTTCTTATTGGGATTTCTTTGCACATATCATTAGTTGAATTGCGCACTTCTCAAAAGCTTAATGGTTTCACCCATGAAGCAATGATCCCTTGTTTCATATTTCTACATCGCTTTAAGCGACGAAAGCGATGGCTTTTAATAACACTAATCTCCAGGCTTAATCTCTCTTATCTTAACCACAATTCTGCCATCCATATTATTGAATAGGGAAGGATTGTTGGATTTACATCTATCAGGTATTGAACTTATTTTATTAGCTTTCCTGTCATGAATATCTTGACAGCATTTTTGCTCAAATGGTACATTTGCACCAGTCTATGAGTGTGTGTGCATCTTTGTTGCTGCAACCATAGGTGGTCTCACTGGCTGTGTGTTTCAGGTTAGGATAAGTGCTAGCACATTCTATTGATGTAAACTCTCCTATTGTGGAGTGAGAATAATTTGTAATCCTGCGTTTTTGGGGGACTGCTGACTTCCTGACCGACTTCTAACATATTGTTGTGGATTTTGAGATTGATCCTGTGGCATTTGCTTGCCAGTTAGAATCCCATTCAGATAAATATGCTTTAGTTCCTACTCGGAAACTATAATTGTCAGTTTGTCATTGAATTATGATGAAATAATTTTGGCCTCTTACAATAGAGTGGATCTTATTAATTCTTGTCCTGTATAATGTATCGTTGATTTTTCAATAAACGTGTCTAGTTTTACCTTGATGTAGGACCGGCCATCTACCAAAGTCCATGCTGCTCCTGGAGGTGGATCTTCTTTGGGTTATCTCTTCGGTGGTGGCAGCAACTGAGCAATTCTCCAATCTACAGTTGGATAATTGTTTTATCACTTCTTTACCTTTTGTGTTTCGACACTATGTTGTAATTGTAATTGTAATTGTGAGTACTTCAGGTTGTTGTGAAGGGTTAGTTGCATAAGGCTTTGATCCAAAGTCCCAGTTGACACTCATGAAACTAAAGTTACTTTCAATGTAATATGCCACCTTTGTTAATTGATCATTTGATTGAACAACTTTTCTTGCCTATACTTCATATCTGTGATTGTTAAGGGAAACTAGACATTGTTGACTACTTACTAATCTTCTACCACAGTTCTCGACTTTCATATCCTGTCCATGGTAAGTTGCAGGTGTGTCATGTCATGCCTAATTACCTCTCCCCGATACTTTTTCGACCTACCTCCACATATGTCTAGACACACCATAGCTAACCTGTTACACCTCCTCATTGGAGCATCATCTCTTCACTTGCCCGAGCTTCATATTATATCATTGCAAATTATTGTCTTTTCATCATGACAAACTACAAAAGGTTTAAACTTGATGAGTTATAATATGGTTTCATAGCAAGTATTTGGTTGGTTCTATAACAATGGTGTGATAAAAAGAGCATTTCATCCCACAAACTAACAAGTACAAATGAAAATGAGAACAAAAGAAAATAACTCACAAAAACCTTAAAAGGTTTGTGTTACTACGCTCATTTATAGTAGATATCTACATTTGTTCGTATAGAGCAAATTGCAGGAAAGTCTATTAGTTTCAATTCCTCTTCAAAGAGGTACAGCTATTGTTGCATTTGGTCTTGGAGGAGGTGGAGCTGGAATTATTCCCCATTTACGACGAACATCTTCCAAATCCTCATGAAAATGTTTTTCATAGTAAACACACATAAGATCTGTGCTACGAGCTCCAGCCTTAAGCGCCCATGGGAAGTAATGCTGGTAAAACAAGCTCCTTTGCTTATCACTAAACCTTGCTGTACCCCCTAGCACAGACATCAAACACATGGGGAGTAGCATCTGTTCAAACTCGATCACTTTTAGTGCTGTTTCTCCGATCAGGTTTGTTGGAAGGTCAAAAAGGGTGTGCCAAAAGTCATGCACCTCGCGAGCACGCATAGCTACATAGGCTAACTCTTCAGTTTCCATGAATCGCACAGGTGGGCGATCATCTGGTGAGAAGTTCCTAGATCCCATGAACCTTGCGTATGCAGCACCAAAAGTGTTGTCAGGCAGGTCCCATGCATGCCCCACATTTGTAGAGATCACACGAGGTCGCTCCAAAAGTATTTCCTGAGGTACAAGTATAAATACATCCAAAACTACAATCAGTAGATGAAAATATACTTCAAACTAGTTATAAGAAACTTAAAAACGGATAGAATGAAACAGTCAAATGAGATGATGAGTACTCTAATAAAACGGCAAATGAACATATATCACAAGCTTTCATGTTAGTCATCCAACTCTAAGACTAGCACTAATGTTGCCTAGCTGATGTTAGTACTATCTGCCTTATAACTGCTAGATCTTTCAGAGTTAGTACAGGTTGCCAGCATACAAAGCACCCCAAACTTTATAAGACAAGAAAGATGGCCAGAAGCATAATCGAGACTGGCTTATCTGTTCCAGCTAGGACAAAATAGAGAACTCGTTAGGAAAGCAAAAGAGAAGAACGACACAGCTAAGAGTTTCCAAGCATTTGCTTGAGCCACTTTGTTCACTGCATAAGTGAGCCCCTAACTGCACCTTACATCAAGCTATCAAGGCACTAAAGTAACACTTAGCTGTACTTCAACACCACCGGCACATGCCTTAAACAGGCAACAGCTATGGACAAGTTCACAATGCTTCCAGTTAGGTACATGGTGTAAGCAATACAAAGATCCTAAAAGATGCTGAAATCTTAGGGTGACAGCCAAATAACTACATTGAAGCAAGGGATGCTAACAGGAGGGCACTAGTGATTGCACCAGAAAACAACAAGATGTGCAATTTGGGTATTTTGCTTGATGAAACAAGGCAGAGTTGGTGAGGCAAAAGAGACCCTGAGTTAAACCAGCAGTGGGAGATTCCCACCTCAAGGCAGACGAGAGAACACAGCAGATGATCTGGGACCTCGAGTCTGAAATGATGAATAAAATGGTGATAGGTTTTAATAAAGCAAGCCGTTTAAAGGCTTCTTGGAACAAGATTCGAAAATGCAGCTGACCAATGAGATGAATTATGGGAGACTCTGAAGGAACGCTAAGAGAGTCAGAAAACATGATGTGTACGAACTCAATTCCATCAGAGCAAAAAGAGGAAAGATGGTCGGTGTTATTGCCGCATATCAATGATGTTGAACAGGATATAATTGTTGCTGCTTTGTGTCAAGTGATGAAACATTGAAGCTGAAAGGAAGTAAAGATATTGGAATCCATCTGAGGAAAATTGAAAAAGAAATTGAGGGTCTTTCAAGACTACAGTACCTTGTCATGAGTCCACAACATTGACTAACATTATTGATTAAACTATCATTATTAATCTAATTGCATTTTAAATTTTGATGTTCTTTCAAGACAGTACTAGTCATGATGAGTATGGTTACCAAATGCACAATCAAATTGGATGTCATTGAGAACAAGTAATGCATGAGACAACCTAAACCTGCTACAAATAGCTCAAGAAATTGCACCAAAAAGTAAGGACTACAAACTGCAGCAACTTCTCAGTCAGTTGAGGCAAGTAGACATCCCTAAATTGGCATTTGAAGAACTGGATGATCACTTTTCTCATAATACTGGGAATTTGGATTCAATGGGCTGCTTGCTAAGGGTAGGAGTACAAAGAAACTGTCTTCTTGTATCAGAAACTAGGTTGTTCTATTTCATCGAATACTGGCAATTCATATGTTGCTACAAGTATAGAGTTAGGAGGAAGTGAAAGATCCTCAAAACTGGAGCTTTTGTGAGTTCACAATAACTTCAGTCGTCAGAAAGGTTCACAAGTGACCATAGCCACAGCCCACATAGTAAAGGTGCATTTCAATTTTAAGTTGCTATAAAATATTCGAAGGATCAACATTCAGTGCATATACCCTCTTCATATGTTCAAGGTACATAAACACAAATGGAGGATCCATCCTATGTAGGTTACATTAGAACATTCTAACAAGTATCAAAGGAAGTGTTTTTCGTTCTAATACAAGAATAAAAATAACTGCAAGTGACATCCACTTTGTAGTTAAACAGTTTGCATATTTAGATTCGATGCAGTAGCCCATGGATGTTTGAACCAAACGAAGTAATCACAAACCCCTTCTAATTGCACTGCAAAGAACCTTTTTCACAAAATATTATAGGAGTATTTCTTAAAGATAATCAGCCAATGTGATGGACTAGCAAATCAAATGTATAAATGAAGAGAAAATCAAGTAAAAGGCCTTACTCTGCCTTCAGGACTCTTCTTCATCCTTTCAAGAACCCTATCAAAAGCTGGTTTCCCCGTCGTCTCGCCCAAAGCAGCAATAAGATCTGCTCTTCGAGGATCTAACAATGCACCAACTGCAGAACCAACTGCAACAGCAGCCTGTTGCCACCCTTTTAACCGAAAACGACTACCTCGTATCATGACAACCCAATTCTGAAAAACAAAAAAACTGAATCAGGAAAACAAAAATTTGAAATCAAAATCCATACTTTCCTCAAACCAATTACATAAACTTCAAAGCCCACCAACATATATCAACATGATTCGCCAAATGATAAAATAAATTGGTTGAGGCATTTTCACAAACAATTAGTGGGCAAAAATGAAATTGCAAATCTTAAAAGTAATCAAGATTAATTAAAGGTTATAATCCATTGATTGGTTTCTATACATTAAGGGTTTTTAAAAAGAATGCAAAAATCACCATAATTAAGAGTTCATACCGATTAGTTTAACGAAGAGATGCAGAGAAAAAGAGCAAAGCTGAAATGGCGTTCTTGTTTTGTTTTGTTTTTCTTTTGCCTCTTTTTTTAATTAATTAATGTACACGAAGGGACTCTTTATCTTTTTAAAAAATAAGAAATATTTGTTAGAAGTTTAGGATATGTTTGGTGTTTCTTCCGTTAAAAATTCAAATCAATGTCGAATATTAACAAAATCATGATTTCGAGCATCATACGTTAGAAAGAACCTTTCTTTGAGTAGATACGTGAAAGATACTAGATGATTAAGAGAATGATTATGAAAGTATAAACTTTCTTTGAGTAGATACGTGAAAGATACTAGATGATTAAGAGAAATATGTGATTTTTGAATCTATTGAGATTTCAATTTTGATAGTTTTTACATTAGTTTAATTGACAACTATAAGGCTTAATATATTGAAAATTCCTTAAAATTGCTAGCAAATTATTCTCGAAGTATTATTTCAATAAAAAAGCTGACCATGTCGCAAAATAACAGTCATTTTCTACTCTCTCATTCAAACAACAGTTACATACATATAACTCAGAATAATAGCACTAATGGTCTCCAATAATAGATACAAGAGCATAGTTTATTACTAATGGCTAAGCTGAAAGTAGTGTCATGTCAATATACCTGAAATATAGGGCATAGTTTATTATTCATTCTTCGCGATGTGGGAGGTAATGGCGTACTTTTACAACAATAATATAACCATCTAGACGTACGCAGACCTTACCTCCTAGTTATTTTACATGTATATTAATATATACGAACTTGAACTTGAGAACAAGATGCTTAATGTTGCAATTCTGGACACCTAAATTAGACCAGCAGCCAACATCTTGCTCTCTCTCTCTCTCTCTCTCTCGCTCACTGTATGTTTCTCGAATCATCTAAAACTATACATATATTATACACATCAAATCCTGCAACAGACGAGAGCACCGTTTTCTATAGCTTCAGAACAGGCAGGGGGCTTCTCCAAGTTGCTCAAAGAGTCCTTATTATCCACAGTCTATATTTCTTTATATACAGATATACAAGACACGGACCGATCAAACTCGCATCTGAAAGGTGTTTGCAAAGGTTAAGGTATGTTTCCAAGCTTCCAGATTGTTGAATTCGTCTTCTTAGTCTCTGCAGCACAGCTGCTCTGTCCAGAAAATCTGGATACAAACCCAAGTCAAGCATTTTAATTACTGTTTCTGCAGCATTCTCTAGGTGTCCGCCTTTAATGTAACCTCTTAACAGCCATGACAATGTTTTCTTTTTCTGTAACGAGCTTGAAGCCTCCATTCCGGTAAGCA